TTGATTTTCTTTCATAAAACCCTTCGATGAGTGTTAATTATTTTTTATTGTTCATTATTACTTGTGTAACCTTTAATGTAAAATCATGCCTATAATAAAGTATGCTATTTGTATTATAATTTGTAAATAATGAAAAAAATACAAGAGAAGTTATTTTCATTTGTATTGCTTATATTCTTCACTTTCTCTTCTTTCTCTTCATTTATAGCTTCTATATTTTATTCCTAACAGCACGGGTGTACTTATGGTAATGGTTAATAAATATTACATCCTACACCCTCCGTCAAAATTATACAATTTTTAACTTTCACCTCTAATAAAAACAGTTAATAATTCCATTTTCTTTTTTTTCATGTCAGCTCCTATTTAATATGAAAATATCATCAGTTTTAAATATTCACTAAGGGCGTATTTTAAAAATATCATTAACTACTTCTAAAAAATACCAAAATGTTTATATTTTTACACATGATGTCTAAAGAATGACTTATAATTTTAAATAGAGAGAATGTTGTAATTATAATTATAGTTTTTTAAAAACGTAATTAATTAGCATCTTTTGGAGAATTTTATTTCCGTGTTTTTTTAGTATAAGAATGGGCTTAGCCTATTAGCATCTTTTGGGCCTAATGGGCAGCTGGCTATTCGAAATTTGTTCGGCTCTTCTTTGACTTTTCTTTGGGTCAATGACTTCGGTCCATATTTTCCTATGCAAAATACAACCTGGCCCTCAAAGGTAGACACATTTTCTACTGATTCAACTAAATTGTTTGGTTCGTTTGTTTGACTTTGGGTTGTTTTAATACAAATTAATTCTCTTTCAAACCTATTTATATTATAATCTTTGGCAAAATACAAACAGTTATTATTAGTCAACGATTAGACTTTTATGGAAAACAAAAAAAGTTACAGTGCTCTATTTGTAAACTTAATATTTATTTCCGTGTAAGATAAAGTTGATTAGCTTATGTTGCTGGCAGATGATGGAGAAGGTTATGATATAATTACTAGTTACTCCCGCCCCTCCATAGCATTTTTTTAGAAGCTCTACTCAATTTAAAATATAAATTTTTTATTTTTTATTCAAATTATATCAATACTTTATTCATTATTTCTTTTGAAAAGAAATCAATAAACTAAAATTTCAATTGTCATTATTAAGACACTTAAATAAAATATTTAACGAGAATAATAATTTGAAAGATGTATAATTTTTTTAGAAGATTGATCTCAACTGTTTTTTTTTTTTGAATTGTGAAGTAATTAACAATATCTTTTATTAAGGACCACAGGGGATATTGTCTTAACATTTTTAGTGGCCATTTAATGTTGGATATTATTTGATCAAATTTGAGTTTATTCATGTTTAAATAGGAACAACTATCCTAAGTCCCAACCACTAAGAGTAAGCAGACCAGACTGAATCAAATCAAATTGAATTCAATCTATTCTTTTGTATAATTTGATTTGACTTTTATTTTAATGAAAATTTCAATTGATTGATTTAATTCAATATATAAGTTATTGAACAAACTGGATTATATATAATTTTTTTAAATTTGTTTTGGGAAAAATGATCAAGTTAAGAAACGAAACCTTGAACTACCTCACCTTTTTGTTTCCCCTAGTTTTTCTCTCCACATGCTTAGCCTCTTATATGGTTGAGTAAGAAACATTTAGGTGATCAATATCATTTGTTCACCGTGTTGTTTTGTTTTTTCTATAAATTAATTTTTTATTACTCACATGTTTTATTAGAGACAATCTTATTTAAAACATGATCAAATAATTTAGTTTTTAATGCAGTGGTAGTGTGGTTTATTAATTTTTTTCATGAATTACAAAATAAAATGGCTATTTCACTGGGCCTTTAACAGTGGAAAAGAAAAAAAAATGAACAGAAGAATATATGCACAATTAAATTTCATATAACCAAATTAAAACCTACAAGACCATTCAAACTGAATTATTATAATTTGTTTTTTTTTAATTTCAGTTTGATCAAGTCCTTTTCCATTTTTAAGTTTAAATCAACCACCTCACTCAAGGAACATCAAATTTGTCATTCCCAACCTAACTAACGCACTTCATGTTAGAAATTTTATAAAGCGAGGATTATAGTAAAAGATTTGTGTCATATCAGTGGCCTAATAGTTTTGCTTTCCAGAGAGGCTCACTGAATGAGACATTGGTGGTGGCCATTAGGAAAATAAAGAATTCATTTGTGTCCTTGTCAGTGACGCGGCTGATGGATTAAGCCATGCTACTCACAAGCTTAATGTCAAAATTAAGCCGTAATTAGCACATTAATTAATCCTCGTTTTTTTTTTTAAAAAAAGAAAAGAAGTGGCTTGTGGCTTTTGCCTAACTTAAAAGCTAGAAATTGCTTATTGAGGAAACTGTCTTAATAGCCCTTAGCACATGCGTCCGCCAATGAATCTCAAGCAAGATTCAAGCATTGCGGGCGTTTCCACACGCCCAAGAGACGCACACGCAATTTCTGCTCATTAACAAAGCCCATTTTCACATCATGCTTCATTATTTGATTCTATTAACAACTGATTTGTTTCTTAATATATCCTTATTTGATTCAGATTCTTCCTAAATCTTCCCATCTGACCTGTGCAACTGGATAAAAATATATATAATGCTCAGCAGTCCTATTTATTATTATAACAGATGTGTACACACCTCAAAATCAACCGTACTGCAACTTCTTTATATTTCTTTCTCTAGTTCTTAATATTGGCCACATTTTAAAAGAATTTTTTTAGCCTTAAATATAAGTTACTTTAGAAGATATATGTTGTATAATTATTTTCTTTCATTTGTACCCTTGGTTTGCATTTTAAAAGATTTTATTGGTTTAAATATAAGCTTGCTATATAAGAAAAAATTATTTATAATAATTAAATTAACAGCCATTTTATAGTATTAAAGTGGATGTGGGCGTGTTGGCTTGTGGATTTGAATATAATGAATAGTTTAAATTCACTTATTCAATAAATGTTCTAATTATGATAATTAAATTTATTAACATTTGAAAATTATCAAAATACATTTTTTTTTAAAAATTTATTTTAAATTTTTATATTATATAATACATAGATGTATAAATATTAGATAGTATCCGCCATTATATTTATCTCACTTTTTTTTTTATTATGCATATGCTGACAATTTCTTCCCCTTTGTTAGATGAAAACAGATGGAAGTGAGAATATTTCATTATTTCTAGCAATTTTAACAATAACACGTCAAAAGTTGTACTACTATTTTATTACACTTCTATTTTCTTGAATGTGACCTTTTATGACACCTCAAAATCTGTGTTTTGTTTAATAATTATGGAAAGCAAAGACAAGGCCCGAAAGTCACGGCACAATGAAGCTTTTCATTCAGTCTGGTCTAAAAAGGTTAGCTAAGGCAGGAAGAATTGCAATTCTTAACCTAAATTATCAATGAGGCGATGGCCAAGAATAAAACGAGGATGACAACTAAATCCAACTAGGACCCATTAATTTAATTTAAATCCTAACCAATTTTAAAATACTATTAAAATCTCATGTGTTATTTTTGACAAATCTAACTTTAAAAAATTTATTAAAATATTATTAGGTAATGTTTGAATTGATAAATTTAAATTTTAGATTTTAAATCTCAAATTTAAAATTTATGTAATTAAAATTCTTTGTTTAGGTAGTTTTTTTTCCCCCAATGGAAAAGGCAAACCAAAACTTGAAGGATTAAGCTATAAAAATTTAACCACTAGACTATTAGAGCACAAGCTCTTTTCCTGACCAACAATTTTCTGACAGACCCTAGAGACATCATTAAGTACCCAAAAACTTTGATTTTTCTTGTGTGCATTCGAAGCCAATAGATCAACACGCTTGATTGATTCCCTTCCTAAGAAAAATATTTCTACTTCTTTCAGAAGACAAAGATAATCTTATATTTGGTATACAATTGGCGTGAGGGGATGATTTGGATCACATTCCCTCAAAATCATATGTATCCCCCCTAGTAAATGTTAATGAATCTAGACTCTTTCAAAACTTAAATCTTAACACACTTTCAAACTTGATCTAATGCCTTTTAATTCAGATTCAATAGATGTCTTTTACCTAGACATTGCTGGAACTCGACTATCCATGGGTAACTTAAAAAAGAGATAAATGTGCATTTTTTTTTTGAAGTATTTTTAAGGAGTACCCAATATCTTAACATTTTTATTAGAGTAATTTTAACTTTAACATCATCAAAACGAAACATTTTTACTCTTTTTATCAAATTTTTAATATTAATTTCAAGTATTGATCGTTAAAAAATTTGACTAAGTTAAATATATGATTAAAATTTATTTAAAATCCACACACGATTAAATTAAATATATGATTAAATTTAAAATAAAAATTATAAATTTATTCATTCAAAGTTATAAAATTACTAAACTTGAAAATATCTAGAGCTTTTAGAATAATAATTTTATTACTTTTTATTCTCTCATGAATAAAAGCAACCTGTGCTGCTATTATTTTATATGCCAAATTTTAATTGTTAAATTAAATCAAGTTAGAGTAGACATGAGATAAATTGCTCTTTCCACTATTAACAAATACATCATTATCAACTTATAACCATGAGGTCATATTCTTTTAATTACCAATTTAATCCTTGTACTTTGACTCAATACAAGTTAATCTTTATAATCTATTGCATTAAGGAATTATATGATTGAGTTATACCAAATTAAAAAAAATTATAAAGAATGTGTTGTTTCATATCAATTTAAAGATTGAATTGATAATTAAAGAATATTTGAGGGCCAAAAGTTACAGTTTTCTCTAACAATTATACATCAACAATATCCAACATGTAAACTAGAATATAACTTGAAATAAATAGCAATAACTTATTTTAAATTATAATTTTTTTATTAAAATAAATTTGATGAGTGGGCATGCCATTTTTAGTTTAAAACGGAGTCCCCCACCTAAACAGGGGATGTAGTCTTGCCTCATGCGATCTTCGCCTTCTGTGTAATTCTGCCTCAGCATTCACTGGCCCTTTCTGAGTCTCCACTTTGACTACGCTCCACCTTTCATTCCAAAACTCGGTCCAATCCAAACCCAACATGACAAATTTGCTCACTTTTCCATTCCTTCATTAAACTTCCTCTCTCACAGAACCAGGCTTTTTCTTGTTTCACTCATGGAAATTACAGCCACCACCATAACAACCTTGTCTTCTGGGTCTTGTCCCTGCAAAGTCCTACCCTTTTGTGTTGGCCCTTGACCTCGTAATTCGGCCATGGAAGAAGCATTTGATTGGAGTTCTGATGTTCGAGGAAATGCCTCAGAGAGGACTCCTCATGGTTTTCTGGATAACTCTGCTGCAATGAGAAGAGGGCTTGCTTCATCTTCTTCTCTGGTCCTGGACGGAGAGAAGGGAGAGCTTGTGGCGGCCCCTGCTAAACTGGAGCGCAAGATTGCGTCCACTGATAGAAGTATTGAAAGTTTGAAGAACCATAGCGAGGCAGAGAGGAGAAGGAGAGCAAGGATTAATGCTCATCTTGACACCCTTAGGAGTGTAGTTCCAGGCGCTAAAAAGGTTTGTTCCATTGTTCTCTCTTGTGTTGCTTGCTGACTTCAGTTTGTGCTAAAAAGCGTCGAAACATAATTTGTTTTGTGGTCAACTTATGGGAAATTAGTTTTGCTGCTTGCTTCTACGGAATATGCAATTGTACCAGGCGGATAATTAATTTATTTACTGCAATTAGGTTGTTCCACTTCATAATTCAACCAGAAAAACCATTTGTTTGAATCAGTTTCATATATTTGGTATCTCGAGATTGCAAGATGATTTATTATTTACTTTCCTTCTTCTCAACAACTATTGCAGTGAAAAATATTAATTGTGTTCAGATGTATGAAAAATATTAGTTGGGTTCTTAAATGATGGAAATCATTTTAATAGGTATTAAGTAGCCTATTTTGATGGCCAGAATACATAGAGATTATATCCATATAGGCCGGTTTCTAGTTTATTGCTTTTGATCGTATTTACCTCTTGATGTTCATAAACATGGTTCAAAATTTCCTTTCTGATATTAAGCATCCAACCAGGTTAAGCTTATTCTTTGAATCATGAAACTAAGATGTCAGTAGCAATGAACACGTTGAATCATTCATGCAATGGTTTGAGAATCTGAAGAAGTGCTTTTCTTCGTCTGTAACTTGTAGATGGACAAAGCGTCATTACTTGGAGAGGTTATCAGACATTTGAAAGAGCTGAAAAGGAATGCAGCACAGGCATGTGAAGGTTTGATGATACCAAAGGACAACGATGAAATAAGAGTTGAAGAACAGGAGGATGGTTCAAATGGCTTCCCGTATTCGATCAAGGCATCGCTATGTTGTGAATATAAACCTGGGTTGTTGTCTGATCTAAGACAAGAACTTGATGCTCTACATCTCAGGATAATGATGGCAGAAATTGCAACCTTGGGAGGCAGGATGAAGAATATGTTTGTTATAATTAGCTGCAGAGAACAGAACATAATTGAAGATGCTGCATATCGTCAGGTTCTTGCAGTCTCTGTTCATCAAGCTATTAGGTCTGTACTTGATAGATTTTCTTCTCCAGAAGATCTGTTAGGAGCCAGCAAGAGACGGAGAATTTCTATATTCAGTTCATCACCTTTAGGAGATTTGTTGTGAGCACCATTTGTAGTAATTGGTTGTTTGGCAGTCTCAGGCCTTGCTCAAAAATCTTCATCCATTCCCTACCACACTTGTCCACTCCATACTCTTTTATTAAAAGATTCAGCTACTAGAACAATGTAATTAGAAATGTGATTAGAAATTACAAGAACAATGTGATTTGGTTGATGGATTAAAGCATGTTTGAAATATCTATTCTACTTTTTGGTAATGCACCTCTCTAGTGTAATCATGCTGTTTTTAAGTTTCGTGAGGATGATATTCCACAGAAGATACTAGTCTTTTAAAGGGCTTTCGTGGCCTTTTACTTGATATGTTTATTAAACAATTAATTATGCAAATTGTTAATTCAACTGTTCTTGCTCTAAACGAAAATTAAGGCTTGAGGGTCAGAGGACAGAGATCAAATCAATCATTATGCAGTTCGAGCAACCTCCACTAGAGAGAAAACATTATATATTTAGATTTTGGATAAATGAACAAATTACCCCTTGAATTTTAATTTTAGTAGCACCATAAATTTTAAACTCATTTATTATACAAATTATTCTCTCAATTTGGTTTTGCCATTAACAAAAATTAATTTCAACTGTTAGTTGGCTAAAAAATGACAAAAAAAATCTCAAAAATTGCAAAAAAAATAAAAATTATAATAAATGACTCAAAAATTACAGGAAATGACTATTTTTTTTTCATTTTTATAATTTTAAGGCTCTTTTTTATTATTTTCTGATCAATGATCAGTTAAGTTTAACTTTTGATAACAATAGGAGTTAGATTGTAATATTTTTAAAAGGTGAAAAAATAATTTATATAATAAATAAGTTCATGACTTATAATACTATTGAATCTAAAGTTTAAAAGGTTATTTATTCATTTAACTTTATATTTTTTTTAGTTTTATTCTTGATGGGAGATGCACTTTTCTGTAATGATGAGTGATGATCACATTTTAATTCTTTTAATATATATATATATATATATATGATTTTTAATAAAAATCTATGTCTAATTATAGAGTAAGGCACTGACGGATGAAAAACATTTTCTTTATTTCTTCTCACTGGCTGTGTGTAGAATTTCTTTCTTATTTATCATAAACCTACTTATTGCACTTTTATTTTTTAATACGTTTTTTTATTTTTATTGTTTCTATTTAATTTTTATCAAATATACATAGAAAAATTTAGTCTATCTAGTTATATATAAAAAGCACAAATTCAACAGAATTTTGCATTATTTTTTCTGGCCACGAACAAAGGGTGATATAATGGTTTTTTCATAGTTCCACGTGGCGCATTACTATAGGGAGGGAATCTGGCGGTCCATTGCAGTTGATGACGTGGCGATATAGTGCAGCCGTTATCTCATGTCTCAGCACTGCAATGACCCCATTGTTGGAGATTCTCCTGCCTCTCTCCCACCCGCAGAACACAATGGCTCTGTCGCCATCTCTTCAGAATCTCTCTGTTATCTCTGCCGCCAATGCCACCTCAAGAACAAGAAGACAGCCTTCCTTCGTGGTTCACATGGCGGCGTCGGACGCATCAATCGGTACTTTTGAAGAAGGACGACTGGTGCGACCCAAGTGGACTGGACACACCCCCCTCTCTCGTCTCGTCGCAGCTCTCATTTCCTTCAAGCCCTTGTACTCCATCCTCAAGCTTGGCGCAAGGCAGGTCCTCATAAGGTCAATTTCTCTTCCCACTAGTTTATGTTTGCAGGGTGTCTGATGTTATTGACTATATAATGTAAACTGCATTATTCTTGGATTCTTATGTCTGTTATGCTGCATTATGCTAAAAAATTTCTTGGTAGTCAAAATGTTTTTGCCAAAGAAAGGTACGTATCTTTTAAATAGCATTCATTATATGCTTTTGAACTTAGGTTTCTCACTCATCCGGCATACAGGATCTTTCGGATTTGAGACTGGGTTGCGTTTTCATTCCATATATCTTGAACTGAAGTGAAGCTATTATGTTAATTCAAAATAACTAGATTGAGACGCGCACCATGCACTTGATCATATTCTGAAAGATTCCTTGAAACTAAATATTTACCTTGATATCTTGGATAATAGTGTCTGGCACATTGCCTTATTTGAAAACGTTATTGGGTGTGTATGGCTTATATTTGCATCTGATAGTATCATTAAATATGAAAATCCTTGAAACATCTATGATATATATATATATATATATATTGGTGTTTTTGAAATTTTCGAGTTAACCAAACGTGTTCTTTTTGGAGAATGAATGTGATTTTTCGATGTGATGGGCACAGTACAGCTGAGAAGAACAACATACCTTGGAGGGAAATGACGAAAGAGATTTTAGAGTCAGATGTGTATCAGGAGCTGGAAAGCATTCAAAACCACTCGCTAGTATACCCAGATTGTAATTTTCTTCATGGACTTTTCAGAATTTTACCTTTCTACTTTCTGTTTTCTTCACTGGCATTGTTATACGTTCTCTCAGAGAGTTGAATGCAATAAAATTTGGAAATGAATGTATTGCTTGTATTAAGCATGTTTGAATTACTTTTCTTTATCTTTTTCTGAGAAGCATTATATTTAATTATTTATAGCCATAGCCCATATGATTTTGTTCTTAGGTTAATCAGTAATTTTAATGTATGAAATTGTTTTTGCTATAGGAAGCAATGCCTCCTTTGAATTGAATCATTTGTGTTACACCTTAGGTTTCCTTTCTGTACACGAACTTTTGGAATTGAGTTTCAGTTAGTAGTTCCTGTCATTTATTTTTATGTTTTGAATTGAAATACTTATATTAATGCAAAATTGCTAGTTTGGTAGAAGCACCATGAACTCATGATCATATTCTGAAAGATTACTCAATTATAAGTTGGGAAGAAAGATTTGGCTCGTTGTTAGTTTCAAATTCTAGTGCAGTATGGCTTTTCTGAATTTGAATTACGTATTTCACCACACAATTTTCACTTTTGAATGGTTTTTGTCAGCGGAAAGATGTTCATTTTTTCTTCCATACCTCAATATGAAATTTTACTCCCAGCATTGTCCCCCCACACTATAGTTGCTTCTCACTTGCTAATGTCTCACATCTTTAATCCGAGTGTAATGATAGAGTGACTGCCTAATTGTACAGATTACTTGAATCCTTTCCATGCATATGATGAGGGCAATCTTACATGGCTGGTAAGGTGCTGCTTAAAACTTGGGAAAATTACTGGGAAGTTTCACACAAGAATTTCAATTATCTTAAAGTCTTATAAAATATACAAAATACTCTCAAGTCTTAAATCCTGTGCAATTATAATTTGGCAAAGGAAAATGACAACTTGAGAATATCTTGTGCATTTTATGGGACCTCTTGATAATTAAAATCCTTACAAGGGATCTTAGAGTGATTTTCCCTATAAACTTTTCCATAGTCTATGGATGCTCAACCACTTCTCTTCTTTGTTGGGTGAAATAGTTGTGTATTTTCTATATACTGCATATCTTGCTTTCTTCAGTTCAACATTTATTTTTTGGGGATATTGAAAACCAGATGCTATTTGTTTATTGTTTCCCCATTAAACAAACATTTTCTGATGTAGACAAGGCAGAACACCATCAAAAGATTCCATTACTTGTTATATGGAGCAATTTTAGACTTGTACCTTGCTCTTGTAAATGTACTGCTTAACATTCTGATGCACGACCAGGATTGTCTGAACATGATGACAGAAGCAAACCAATTAAATTATGTGTTGTAGCATTCTGAACATGAAATTTTTCTTTTTATTATATGTTTTAAATCATGTTATATGATAGGCAGCAGCTGAGGCAGAGGCTGCTACTTTGTCAATGGTGAGACGGGCAATTCCAGATGCTTCTTCAGTAGATGAAGCAAATCAGATACTTCGTGGCAACTGGCTCCAAGCAACTGAACAACACCATCTACAGTATTCAGAAACATCCATGATTAGTGACATTCTAGATATTGGATGCTCTGTTGGTGAAAGCACAAGGCATCTTGCAGACAAGTTTCCCAATGCCGAAGTTACTGTGAGTGAGCTTTATGTGAATAAACTCGCTTCTTCAATACTGCATAATGTAAAAGCATTCTTGGTACACTTTAATAAAAGAAGCCTTACATATGCTTGGTAATTGCTAAAGACTCACTTTATGATTGATATGTTCTGTCCAGGGGCTAGATCTGTCACCTTTTTTCTTGCTGTAGCTCAACTTAAGGAAAAGAAAAGAGAACCACGTAAACATTCCATAAGCTGGATACATGCAAATGGAGAAAACACAGGCTTGCCTTCCAAGTCTTTTGACCTCGTTTCCATTGCTTTTGTGGTATGCCTCGCCTTCCTATTTTGGTATTTCTCTTATAAAGCTTTGGAGAAGATTTTAATTTTCTATATGCATGTTATCTTTGCTAGTAAATCAAAACTGCCAACGTTGAGATATTTGTAAATTTAGAGTGACGGACGTAATTAAGAAAGTTGTGGCTCATGGACCCAGGAGATTTATATCCTACTAGTTATTGCATCATATCACAAGTGAATTTCTACAATCTTTTTATATGATGGTTTTGGACTGGACATTGATAGTTACTACCATTTTTATGCAGCTTCATGAATGTCCTGAAAGAGCTATAGTAAACTTAGTAAAAGAAGCATTTCGTCTCCTTCGACCTGGAGGCACCATAGCTTTGACTGATAATTCGGTATATCTCTTCCCTTTTTCTTCTTTTATGTATTTATTTTTACCGTAATAGAATGTGTTATGATGCTATCGTAAGCACTCATATTATTGTTCACGTTTCTGCAGCCAAAATCGAAGATTCTTCAGGTATGAGCCAGCTTTTTCTGCACCTGATCATATTTTGATCACCTTTGGCAAAAGTTACTCTGAAGTTTTCTTTTTCTTTGTATTTTGGCACTGAACATGTGAGAGAATTAACATGTAAAACAATGCACAAACGATGAGCCTACAACCTAAAGGTCTAAATTTTGGTTGTAAATGATGTTCATCCACTTTTGAAAACTTCTTTGTCCCTAACAGCACATCACAATCTCCTTGGTGATCTTGGATTAAATGTTGGCATCCTCATTGTGCTTACTGTGGATGATATGCAGATCACAAATTACATGTTTTATTAAATCACTTGATATAAGCTACAGAGATGTTGCTTTTTCAAATTGACATATTGACATAACATTTTCTAAATGGACATGACTTCTGCAGAGTCCACTTTTTTAGCTGTATGACAGAAGTATTTGAAAAACTTGATAGTACTTAAAGAGCTGCATCTAACTGGATGTAATAAAATAGCTTTGCTTGTTGGTTGTTGACATTGCTGGATACCTTGAAATTAAAGAGAAAAATCATCGAAGTTGTTGGTATTGGTGTTGTAGGAACTGTCCCCAGTGCTGTTCACATTGATGAAGAGCACAGAACCATTCCTTGATGAGTACTACTTGACTGATATGGGAGCAACTCTGAGGCAAGTTGGTTTTGTCAACATATATTCCATTCTTACTGACCCAAGGCACATGACTACAACTGCAACGGTTCCTCATTGAAACCTTTTTTTTTTTTTAAAATAATTATTATTATTTGAGAAATAGAAAGACTAGGCTAGTTTTATATATGCTTATGAAATGATGTTTAACAGTTATAGGTGTGCTTATGGTTGATTTAGTTCAGTTTATTTATACATTTTGCCAAAACGGGACCAGGTAATAATTCTTCATTTGTGCTTGAGATGCCGGCAAATGCTTGAATGATGCAGTTTCAAGACGACAAGAAACTTTTTCTTTTTTCTTTTTTAAAAAATATAATCAATGCATGTTCAATGCCCTTTCTTTTCTTTTCTGTTTCTTTTTAAACCAGGATGCCCTATAAACCTATACTCATGAAACTATTGCAACTTTTCGAAATATAAAAAATTGCAATTGAAGCATCCGGATAGAATTTAACAACTTAACTAACATTCATTGAATTTCCTAATATATATTTTATTATTTTATGGATAATGAAAAGATTGCTTTGAGTTTTAGTTGTACTTATAATTTGTCCGTTTGGGTAGCCCACATCTTACTTTTACAAAGTGCTTTCTCACTTTTTAGAAAGTGAGATGTTATTTGAATACTACATTTCACTCCAAACTAACTTTCTAAATGTTGCATAATGTGGATTTGGTGAAAGTTATGGAGAGATATTTTTACAATGTATTTTGGAAATGTGATCCTTTTGATTTTTGATATGATCATGTTACCCCAAAAATTTTAATGACTTTTCTACTTTTGATCTTTCTTTATATTTTTGTCACAAAAAAATTCTTTATATTTTTTATTCCTAGGACTATTTTTGTACAATTATTTTCATTTTACTATTAATATTTTAAGTGTGATTTTTGATAAAAAAATAAATAGAGTTCGCGATTTAATTAGAGATTATTATACTGACTCTGTTAAAAAATATAAGGCATTTTTTGAAGAGTTATGTTAAAAAATGTAAGGCATTTTTAGTCTTTTGAGATATAATTATTATCTTTTTTTAAAAAATATCTCTATTAATAATGACTTTATATTTATTATAGGGTATTTAATAGGGATAAATATGAAAAGATAGAGTTAATTAAAAAGTAGGTATTAAAAAGTAGGTAACTATTTTATTAAGGGTGAGATTCGATTAAAAATGTCTTACATTTTTTAACAAAAGATAATTTTTTATATAATAATTTTAAGTATGGCTTCTGTTAAACTAGTTATTATATAATTTTTTTCAACATATCAAAACTTATTATTATTATTATTAACATATCAAATTTTATATTAGTCAAAATTTTATTACATTTTTTTAACATTATAATGTATTACATTTATATAATAAATTATAAATTATCATAAATTAATGTCATTTTTAATAATTATACATTTAAAAACACATTTCATTATATATAATCTAAATAATTTTTAATTTATCAAACTATGTTTTGAAAAGATATATTTAAACATAAATTTTATTATAACAATTAACTTTTATTTAATTAATTTTTAATAAATAAATTTTTAACAAATTAAAAATCAATCACACACTCATAGAAGCTGTCAAAAGTTCGACCTCTCACTTGTCAGGTGTTCAAATCTGACACTGAGAGAAGTCTTGACGAATATTATGGCTGGGAAGCTGGGCTTACTCTAGTCATCTTTGTTCGGATGTGTCATTCTCACTTCCAAACACAAAAAAATGGAATTTTTCTCGAGGATATTTCCATTGTTCCCGGCATTTTCAAAGTTAAAATAAAAAATTGACTAAAATTAGCTTTGATTATGGAAACAGTACTCCTATTCCGATCCCATGCGGGGTTTCAATTTAGAACCGTTGGATCCTGATGGTGTTTCAATCCTTCAGCTCTTATCGCTCTAGCACGGAACCGGTTCAATGCTGTTACGTGCGTGTTAGTTACTCTTCGCTGAGAAAGAAAACGAGACGAACCTTCCCATCTCTTCCCTTGCGTGGTGTACAGAAACCATCACTTATCATTATAAAGACACTAATTTAAGCCCTTGCTCATATAGTCTCAACTCCCTTGCATATAAATTAATTCTATTGAAAACTGGAACCAAAGAAGCATGACTTATTGCAATGATTCTGATTCTGGTGGCAAGTTTCCACAAAGAAATCGTGCAAAAGACATGAATGAAGGAAAATGAAGCCCAATATTATTAGAATGATCAACTAATTCGCTTCATCAATGAAAAGCAGGGTATCCTTCTCGTCAGTGGCTTCAAGTTTCTTCTATCACCTTAACAACATAAGTTTATTTTTAAACCTCCTAATAACTTAATCTCAACCTCACTGGCGCAGCATTTCTGGACAGCCCATCTTTAGCCATTCTAATTGTAACCGTTCTTGCTGAATTATACTTTGTTGTGTTCACGAGCAACAAGAACTCTTTCCGAATCAAGTTGGTGTATTTTTAACGTCTTCTCTATCCTTCTAACCCAATCATAGCTTTCCTTCACATATGAAGTTTTTGTCTTATTAAGTGGAGATCATGCAGGTGGTCGTCTTCGGCATGCTCTCATTGGCATAGGATTCCGAGAACGAACAGAAGCACATGGCTTCCAAGCTGCCTTGCATGATCATATGAAGTATCCTTTTCAGCACCATGTTATTTTTATTTGCCATTTTTTCTTGTTTTTCAAAAATTATTTGTTCTTCAAGTTAATGAAAAGGAAAGCATGTCTTCTCCTCAATTTTATCGAAGATATCTGAACAAAAAGAAAACTGCAAGAGAGATGGACAGCAGTACAAGCAGAGCTCCTCAGTCAATACAGTTCAAAAGATAGAGAGACTCTTGTGCTACAAATTAAGAACAGTGTGGGGAAATCTGGATTTGTATTCATTCCTATACGCATTTGAACGTGATCACTCTTTCTTTAGTTTGATATGATTATATGTAGAGTAAAGCAACATACTATTTTTCTAAGAGTATCTGATGGCCTAAACAATCAGGTAATGTAAAATAAATCCTTAATTTTAAAAAATGAAGTATCCAATAGCCCACCATTAACTTCACTTAATAGATGTTATGTGGGCCCACAAATGACAAGTGACAGTGCAAATTTAACCACGAACTATTTTTTTAGAAACATTGAATAGCCTCTACTATAGAAAACAGATCATCCAACAATTTTTCATTAATTTTGATCAAACACCGTTTATTTTTATACTTATGAGATTCATAACATGTCAATCTCTCTAATCTTCTTGACTTCCTTTTTAATCTCAACTTGAGAAGAAGAGATTTAAAGAGTTCTCATCTGAAGACTTTCACAGGAACAATGCCAATAAAGTAGAAGCTTGATTTTATTACATGTAAGAGATGCTTGATTCTAGCTTAAATTAGTCATGAATTATTTCTTCTATTTTGTTGGATTGCCTTTGTAAATATTTTCAAATAACACTTCTTTGAACCTTTTTCTTCTCGAGCTGAGATTGGAATGAAGGCAAGAAGATTTGAGAGATTGATGTATTATGAGTCTTATAAATCTGAAAATAAATGGTGTTTGATCAAAATTGATGAAAATGTGTTGGGTAATCCATTTTTTATAGTAAAAGCCACCTAACATTTCTCAAAAAATAGTTTTAGGTTAAATTTGCACCGCCACATGTCATTTATGAGCCCCATATAATATCCGTCAGGTGAAGTTAATGATAATCTACTGGATGCTTTATTTTTTAATGTTGAGGATTTATTTCACATTACTTGATAGTTTAAGCTACCAAATGCTTCTAAAAAAATAATATGTGATCAAATTTACTACTTTACCTTCACATGTATATCGCCCTTTGAGAGAAGTGTGAAGTCCAGATTTTTTTATTTTTTGAGCGGGGCTTGAATATCTGCCCTGAAAAAAAGGGCGATGCAAAAGTATCTTTACACAAGATTAAGTTATCTCCACCTCCTCCATCGCGACTTTCACCTGTTTCAACCATGCCCAAGTCTCCAACGAACTCAGCAACAAGTTTGAGTCTTGAGGATACTTGTATAGAAAAGACCACTAGAACAGCCGGCGAAGACGAGGATTGCCAGAGTTCTCGAGAGGATCAATTACATAGGACTAGATGATGACTTATGGTGATTTTCAAGCGGCCGGTTAACTTTGTCGAGAAGTATAACTCGTCCACATGCTTGTGCTTAGATGCTTCTATCATCTGGTATGAATTTGTGATGATTAGGGTACATTCGAAACTGTTGACTGTTAGCCCCAAGATGCTTATTTAGCGGCAGGTTCAGTTATCAGATTCAGAGACCAGATAGACGGCTGAGATCTAAGATGATGTAAATGAACTGCTAGAAAATTAATGAATACATATTCGGATGAATTGCCAACGTCCAAAGGATGCCTATTTCATGGCCAAGTCATTGTTTAAGTTCTGTTCCGTTAGTTTTTTTTTTTTTTCGAGTCTGGTTAAATTTAATCTTGACTCAAAGCTTTGCGCGACAGACTTTTGTAATTTGTACTGTGAAATTTAATGAGAAACGGAAGCCTCAACGCTTGGGTACTTCTGGGATGCAACAATTGTCCAAGGATGGCAGACGATAGAAGCAAACTTGGTGAGTTTTCAATTTCTTGGTTTGGGCGGTGACAAGGAAAGAAAAAAAGGGGGGGGGGGGGTTGCAGAAAAACCACCCAAACGTCACAAGCTCTTCGCCTCCAGAATTTACCACTCCAATGGAAAGAGTTCATGGATCAAAGTTCATCATTACGGGGCCTACGAACTATGCTATGTTTGAACAAAACATCAACTGTACAACTGTCATCGTCTCAGCCACCCGATAGCCATGAAAGATTATTACTTCTCCTCACTCATTGCTGATTGCTCAAGATCAAATCTTCCAAAACTTTTTGCACAGACCAGAGAATTAAAGCGACCTCCCTTGATTGTAAAAACAAAGCAATATCTCTCTAATGCGACTCTAACCAACCCAATGCCAAACTCAGGCTACCAAATGGAATGAGATTTCATGTGAACCAATAATTACTCCAAGAACTTGGAATTACAGAATTTCTTTGCATAACACCAAGAATCCTGAATCTGCCACCAGAAAACCAAAAAAACAAGTCACTAGCAGAACTTAGTGAGTAGCAGCAGTTAGCAATGCACACATGCTAGGTAGAATTATCCTATGTCTAACTAACTATGACAACATTCAACTACATATTATACAAAGTTTGCGTCAAGACAAATAAAATAAGGCCACAAGTAGCAAGATGCATGAGTTCCAACAAATAGCAAGAAAATAGATCCCATACTGCGTTGGTAGGATCACTGTTGGCATGAGAATGCTTCCTCTATACATCAGCTGTAAAATTTAGAGCCATAATATTGGAAGCTTCGGCTTCAGATCATCAAATTAGGCAACCATCTCATCATTAGCTAACTCTAAATACCAGAAAACTGCCACATGAAATGAAAATAAAAGGTTAGAATTTGGGTTAGTGCAGTTCATAATTTCATCTCATAATCTTCAGATAGTCAGTCAATCAATTTGACATTTGCAATTGCGTAAAGTTTATGGAATATTCCAGGCAAATATTACATAGGACAATATTCTTCCAAAAGTATAATTATTCTGGGACTTGCTTTAAAAACATGGTAATGAGGAAATTCAACCTGCAAGGAATTAGATCCATTATAAAAGTATATTTTAAATGAGTTAAGGCTTAACAAAAAGCAGCATGTTTTTTTTGGGACGGGAGAGGAGGAAGATAGAGCAGAAGATTCAGAGAAGATTTACAAATCATTTCCAAGGACCTATAGCTGAACCTATGGGAAGGGAAATGGTGAAGGAAAGAGCAACTCCAGCAGATAAGAGAGTTATCCCAAGGTTCCTGGCCATCAGGGAAAATAAGTGGGGTGTGAGTTGGTTTGAGGTGCAGCTAGAGTGTAGGCAGTGTTGCAGCTTTTTGGTCTTCAAATCCTCCAATTCCGCCAGAAAGAGGGGAATTTAGTCTTTTGGAAGCATAGTGAGGATTAAGAGAGATCTGACCTCTTGAAAGCCAGAAGCATTGCCTTGTACACGCAAGCATATTTTGTTCTGTTCTTGTATTTCTGTCACTGTTATGTGTTTGTAACCTCTGTAACAGTGTGTATGAGGGATATGGGATTGGCTTGGATCATTATTTCCCTTGTAACCAATTCAGTTATTCAGCAATAGTATCATCAATCTCACGTTATTCCCACTCCCTATTGTCTATTTCTGGTTTTAGTCTTAATGTCAGCTTGTTACAGTAGTGGGTCCTTATCATTTGGTATCAGACCAGTTCTGATCAGGGGCAAAAAATGGAAGAATGTGCAAAAAGTTTCAAACGGAACATGAGGGAATTGAAGGCTATGTTCGGCGAGCCTGAAAGAGGTGTCAGGATTATGAAAGAATTGACGTTGCAGAAAAGAGCCACCTTAGCTCAGTTGGCAGGTGAGAAAGAAGACGAGAGGAAGCCTGTTGAAATAGAGCAGGAATCAGAGGCAAGAAAGGAAGAGGTAAATGCAGTAACAGATGAGAAAGGGGAAGGCAAAGACAGCTGAAAGTGAAGTCAAGGAAGCCAATGTCACAGTTGAGGAGGCATCGGAGGACCTGCCGTCAGAGGAGGAAAACAAAGAAAAAAATGAAGGCGTTACCAGATTTAAGATCATGGAGGACTGCAATAAAATTTCATGCACAACACAAAATAACAGAGAAAATAAAACTAGCTAAATAAGCACAAAGGGTCCAGTGCAGGATGACATGTATAAACCAATCAATATTGAAAGCCAAAACCAAATTACATAGGGATTGCACAATATGATCTAACGTTCCCACTTTTCAAGGGGGAAAATTCCTGTCACTTGTCTCTCAAAGGGTGAACTGCATTAAACCTGAACCTCATTTTCTTCTACTCACTATGCTATTTCCAAAATTCACATTGCAATTGCAAATCTAAATCAAAGTAAAAATAATAATGTGAAGAAATGATGAGGAAAAAACTTTGGATAAAATACAAAGAAGTCAAAGTTAAGCCTAATTCATTTACAACCTGAACCAATGACTTGTAGATATAAATATCAATTCACAAGACAAGAGCACCAGGAATGAAATAAATCACAACTCATGATCAAACAGCCACTACTAAATTGCATGCACATCACCATGCTTGAGAAATTTGGCTTCGAAACCATAGACACTCATACTCCTCGCTGTGGTTTAAAGGCAAAAATGAAGGAAAATAGCATAATATATAGTCTATAAAAAAAAAACAGAGCATTTCCAGAGCAGCAAATTCAATGGCCGTGATTGTACCTGACAGAATATAATCAGGTTCCTTGTGATCCTGCATCAGATCCGGATGCTGAGGAGCTTTCAGTATCAGAATCTGCAAAAAGACATACCAGTGAGAAAGACACATGAACAGACATAAATGAGTGTATACATAACTAAAAAGTTAGAAATATGTTAGTTAGATTACAAATTAAAGTACCAGTTGAGGAGGACCCGGAATCACTGCTTGAGCTGCTAGAACTACTTGACCTACTACCATTGTCCACTGGTTTATCCCCTGGCGCATGCAATGATGTGGGTACATTCCTTTCATCTGCTCACAAAAAACATGTTTCAATTAATTAATTATAAAGTAGTAGAATTAAACAATAGTTTAAACACTGCAAGATTAGCTTAATTATAAACATAGATTACCTGCTAAATTTTGTTTTGGAACCTCGACCATATCAGATGCCTGGGCTCAAAAATAAATAAATAAATGAATGAATAATTGAAATTCAGAAATCATAAACAACCAGTTCTTAAAGATAGTGACAACTAGAAGCTAGAACTCAAGCTGTACCTTTTGTGGGGCATTTTTTGCAGATTCTGCCCTTTGAATAGAAAGTTCAGCCTTCCTCTTGTTCTTGCTCAGGCTTTTCTTGTAATTGGTCACAAATCTATCAAGTTCCCAAAGAGTCTCAGCATCGACACTATCAATGTCCACTTCAATCTCATCATCATGTTGAGAAAGAGCTGAATTTCTTTTTTTAATGATCTGTACAATGGTATCTAACTTCTCCGGAGGTAAACTCTGGAGGTTTGTACTAAGTTTTTGCTTTTCCTCATAGGTCATGTCTCTTTTACAAGGATCCTTTGCCTTCGGCTTCTTTGGAGCAGGAGGTCTACTTGATGGAGTAACACGCGCTGACTTTGGAGTTTGTATCACTGATTCTGATCTATCCAAAATCCTTCTCATATCAAGAGAGGGGAATGCAATGGCCTTTCTAGACAATGGTGAGGGCGCAGGTAGAGGTGTCCTACAGTCCAATGCATATCTTATCTCACGATTGTAATCTGATTCTATTATAGCCCATCTGTCCTCAAATATCTTAGATAGCAGGTCTGCCATTACATGAACATCTTGTCCAGGTGGGTTATATTTCATAGCATTGTGAAATGTAAGTCTCACATCCTCTGCAAATTCCTTGGGTGATTTGTACCAATTCTTGTTAAGCCTAGTTTTCACAGTACCCAGGTCCATTGGATGTGAGATTATGCTAAAATAATCATGCAATCCAAGCCCCTCAACGTCAACAGGAGCATTAAACACCCAACCATGCTTGTGCTTCATCAATTTCTCAAGCAATGAACTACAGCTTTTGAAAAATTTTGATCCCATTCCAAAACCATGTCCCAGTTCTCCCCCACCCTGCTTCTTTCCGTTCAGTTTTGACTTCTTATTACTCTCTGCAGGAGGGAATTTATCCTTCCCAAGCAAGAACTCCGAATTTCTATATAACTGGTTTGCCTTCGGCGTTCTCTTCTCCTTCTCAACAGTTTCACTGGTTCCATGGCTATTATCTAGCACCGACAAACTTAACTGGTGCAAAGGCCTGATAGGTTCTCGTGGGACAACAGATGCCACCTCAGACTGAACACGCCTTGCCACAGTGCCATTATCAATCCTATCACTCACCACCGGGTTTGACTTTCCATAATCACCAATCTGTCCCAGTTTCACGTCAATTTTTCTGACCAAACTTCTCACCGTATCAAGCTCATTTTCAAGCTTCCTCTTGAGCTCCAATATCTCTTGCTTTGATCTTGAGGACAAGTTTATCCTGATTCGATTATCCAATCCTGCCTTTACAACACCATTTCCTGACGGCAACTCCCCAATACTGGGAGTAGCCTCCTCCTGTCGATTAGAACTCGAAGGCTCGTCCAGCTGATGATGGGGGCTCGAATGCTCATCCTGCTGATAGTTGAGGCTTGAAGGTTCATTCTGCTGACGGTTTAAGGTGGACGAGTCATCTGAAACCACGTCGGGTCTTGAATTTAGCTGTGGCAGAGCCGAATTTCCGTTCCCGGGCAATACAGTCTGCGACGGTTGCTGAGCCGACTCGTTGTTCTCATTCTTCTCGGTCTCTACAACGTTATCATTCTTGACCATGCCGTTGTTGTTGTCATCTTTGTTAGCAGTTGTCGTTGTTGGAGCAGTGTTGGGAGCAACGGCGGGCAAGGCATTACCTTTGCTCTTGGGTCCTTTATATGCTTTCCTCGTGTACACCTTGCTCTCCACATATCTCTGCTTCTCTTTAGCTCCATCATCTCCTCCCACTATAGGCCCCGACGCCATACATCCAAAACCCTAATTCTTCTCTGCACACTTGCCCTACCAACACTTATTCCAAATCCCAACCAAGTAACCAAAACTAGGGTTTTATGGACCCCAAAAAGCTGAGAAAAGCCACAAAACCTAAATTTCTAGACCTTCACCCAGCAACACTCGAATTTCTAGGGCTCATGCAGACCCCAATTCGCCGAGAAAATCCGAATACACCAAATTGCACCTCCGCGGACGAAGACAGCCAACCTACGCGGGAAGCGAGGAAGAAATAAGGTAAAAAAGAGGAAGCTTTAGGGCTTCAAAATAGACAGTAGGGTTTCGAGCTTGTTACCTTGGTTTCAATCAGATCTTGCACCCTCTCCTTCGCTACACACTCTCTCTCTCCAGAACTCTTCGTCTTCCTCTCTCTCTCTCTCTAAACGGAGATTGTTTTATCAAACACCAGGTGTACGGCAACGGTGGGTTCGTGCGGAACAATGGACCAGACGAAGCGTTTGGGTTGCGCCCCCGAGTCGTGCCCGGGAAGTATCCCAGTGACCCGAATGAAAGGGTTGGGGCTTACTCGATTATATGGCATGTGCACTGCACGCACCAATGGGAAGGACGAAAGTCTGGAACGTGTAAATGACCGACGAATTAAAGGAGGTCAAGCTTTAATGGCGGGGATTTTCGTTTGCGAAAATTTGAAGTGCTCTCGTAGTCGGAGGCATTGCGCGTAGGGAATACCTGCCCGTTCGGTGGGGAACAGGAGTTTGGTGGTGTTAGCACGCGCCGGCGTAGCGCTTGGAGATCATTGGTGTTTTCTTTTCCTCTTTTGGGCCGAGGGTTAGGTCCCAACCCGTGCACAAAGGCCCAAAGTTTTTTTATTTCGAAAATATGTAACAATGCACCTAAAACTGTCTCCGGATTTTTTTTTTTATTGCATGTCTGGAGAAATTTCGAAGTGTTATCGCTTTTGACCTAAATTAGTTTCAAACCTTGTTACGTGGTATCATTATTATTAATGATGACTATTTTGGAAATGCTTTTAGTATTTACATATTTAGTATTTGAAATTAAGACTTCAGTAAGAGAAAATAATTCAATTCTCCTAACCAATTGAATGAATTGTCCATTCATAAAACTATGCCGCGATCTTGCTCACTGTGTGTATTAAAACAAAAGGAGCAAGTTAAATGATTAAATTAATATTCAAATCATCCAATTTATAATTTTTATCAATTTTTATATTATATTTTTCTACTTTAAGGAGACTTTGTAAAATTTAAAGTTGAGAAGATTTAATTTCTAATAAAAAATGGATCAAAATCTTTACCAAAAAAGTAGAAACGAAAATGTTGTTTTACTAAAGGGGTTTGACTTCTGGGTACATTTCCGGGAAGGTTATATCTTGTCGGTGGATCTGTGATTTACATTTTCTACCTACTGAATGGAAACGAAACAAAAGGGACAAATAAAAGCGTCATCGCAACATCCCAAGAATAGGATTGTCATTGTTCTTTCTTCTGGGTTTGACAAGAATGGGACTATAAATCCTACAAGTCTCTCTGCCAATCTATTGGCACTGCTCCGAAGTACAGTCCTGTAAAGTGGGATCAACCTGTATGGGTGTGTATAAAAAAAGAAGTTGCTATGGAAATTCGAATTAACGTTAAACAAATATCAATTAATTACAATTTGATCACAATCTTAATTATTAATTCTTAAACTAGTGTTAACTGTTTTCAGTACATTGACCATCTGGCTCCCAAGATCCCTCTCAGGAATTGAACAAATCAACAGATAATGGGTTATCCGCAGGCTATGTGGGCGAAAAAGAAATGCCCGAAAAGAGAACACTAGCACTTTTAGTAAGGCCACAAAAGTGTTTTTTTTTATTAGGATTATTGCAAAGTGTGTTTGGTTTAAATAAATAAATAAATGACATACAAGTCTCATAAAAAAAATTTAATTACTATAAAATTTATTAATAATTGAACTAAAGCCATCAATTATATAATTTATTATTATTTTTCATTAATTTAGTTGTTAATAAATTTCGCGGCAGTTAAATTTTTTTGGTGAAATTTTAACATAATTCTCCCAATAAATAATTCACTTATTAATAATAGTTACATCTATTTAAAGAATTTTCAATACTTTAATTAAAGTGTCAAATTTGACTGAGATTACCTTTCGATGCTTGGCTCCAACCCACCTAGTAAATAGTAATGATGTATTGCTATATGTGTTTGGGGGTCATGATTGGATTAGCCACGCATTTCTCCTACTCTTAAAGCTTCTATTTCTTATAAACCAAATACCATTAAAAGAAATGAACAGAAGTTAGGTTTACAAAAAGAGACTAATCCTTTACAATTTAATAAATTTCTATTAAAAGAAGTGCACATATTTAATACCTAACAGTGCCTCGGATAAGATTACTTTCCATAAAAAAATGCCACTGGATAACAAAAATTAAAAGATAATCACAGTTGCATTTGTATAACCTTCTAATTTGTGTGTATATTTATTTACCATTGCTCCTATTGTCGAGGCAATTTGTAGCCAAACAACATTACCATATCCAATGTGCATCATGACCTATCAAAAGCGCTCATAATCTTCGACCATTTTTTCAACAAAATTAATAAAAGAGAGGATTTGTTTATCCATCAAACTTACTATCGAGATATAAATATCAGAATATCTACAGTCTGCCCCCAACATGTAAAGACTTTTTACTCTTTAGAATGTCCTAATGTTGCCTTTTTTGCATGATTTTTTTATGTGGTTTTTTGTATCCAAACATCCAAACAATGATGTTTTTCCCGAAGAAAACAAAAGGTTGGTTGATTTAGGTCTTCAAAATTTATTATAGTCAGGATATGTCTTAAAATTCAAAGAATGCTTAGAAATGTATTTACAAATCACCCATTGATAACCTTATCTCTAGCATATATAGTGAAATTTTTAAATTTTAAGATTTTTGATTAAAATTAAGTCTAGTGAAATTTTTTTAAAAAATATATATACAATAAAGTATACATATTTTCTAGCACACGGCATACAATTTAATATGCTCCTCCAATTCATAAAATAGAATCATACTTCCCCCTGCTTTATATGGTTCAAAATGCAAGTCCAGTATAATACCTAGAGCAATTTTTTTGTTTTTTCATTTCACCCTCAAGCACAATTAAATAGTACAAGTGATTGATTCTTTTTTGTGAATGCAATCTTAAACTTTGATAAGAGTAGATTTTGAAAGTAAAACCCATTTTTTACAACTTCAACAGTATAATCTCCGTTCAACTACTATTTTTAGATTGTGTGTAATAGTTAAACGACATAACTAGACTTATATTGTGAACTAGGGAGGAAGTCGTATTAGTTATAACTTTTTGAAAAGCATGGCTTGTTATGATTTTTTTCTTATATTAATATATTAATGATAAGGATTCAAGATGTAAGTAGTTAAATATCACTACTCCTATTGTGCCCAATTTGAAGGGAATACAGTCAAAGGCTTAAATTGGCAAAAAAATAATTACTCATATACAAATAACTGTTAGCTATGATGAAACTATAATTTAATGGGGAATTAAGATCACTTTAAATTTTATTCAATTCCATTCATTTAGCCATTTTGCATTCTATATTCTGTTTTCCACTATTATTAAAAAAGAGAGAGAGAGAGAGTAAAATACAGTAATCTTCCTTTCGTTTTGCAAAATTATAAGGACCTTCCATCTAATTTTAAAACTTATACTTTAGTTCAGTCTTCCACACCATTAGAAATATCTTGTTAAAATTCTAAAACACTTATTTTTTATTTGTAATAATGCTAGAAATTTAAAATTATTAATTTGCTCTCATGACCTAATTGTTTACCCTCTCTTAATTTAAATAAAACTATGAAAATCAAGATAAAAAAATGTAAAAATATGGGTTATAATTAATCAACTTCAAATAAAAATAAAAATAAATTATATTAATTAATTCATATCAATCTCTTATTTTATAAATTTTTTAAAAATATTTTTTACCCAATTTTATATTTAATTTTTAAAAAATATTAAATAAATACATTTACATAATCAAAAAATTTTAAATGTAAATAAAAAGTAAAAAATATATGGATCAATTTTTTGGGTAGTTTGAATGATTTTTAGACCATATTTATGCTTAAAGAGGGGTATTTTGGTATTAATTTAATATATATTTTTCCGTTAAAAAATATAAGCTATTTTTTAAAAGGTTAGATGTTAAAAAAAATATAAGATATTTTTAATCTTTTGAGGTGTAATCATTATTTTTTTTTCAAAAATGTCCCTTTTAAATAAATTACTTTTTATTTATTTTAGGGTGTGTATAATAATAAATATGGAAAGATAAGATTAATTCGAAAATAAATAACTACTTTATTAAAAGTAAAATTTAATTAAAAATATTTTATATTTTTTAATAGAGAGAATATGATTTGATAGTTAACTGGTGGTTTGTTGGATGAAAAAAAAATAAAAATAAATAAGATGTTTGTGTTTTGTAGATATTTATACTATGAAAGGTTTATATATATTTCAAAAATAAAAAGGGATATATGTAACTAAGATAAAATAGGAGAGTTTAAAATATTTTACTCTAAAAAATTGAAATAAAAGGGTATTAAAGATTAAAAAAGGGGTGTGAGAAATGTGAGTTATACACGCGCAATTTTTATAAATCGTCAATAGAGCAATTCTTTCTCATAAATTATCAGTAGATCAAATTAAATAAAAGTATTTACTAACAAATGTTGATCATAATGGAATGAATTATTATCGTTTAAGTATGAAGTATTGAGTTTGAGTTTATAAAATCTGGAAAACTGATTTAGAAAAGTTGTCTCTAAATGAGCATGATAATAGTCGAATTTAACTCAAATTATTATATAAAAAAATGAATAAATATACCTTATTATCACGGGACTAGTCTTTCAACCCATGCGTCACTTAAATAATTTTTACTAAAAGTTATTAAGTAAGCCTAACTCGTAGGAAAGGAGGATGCTTAGCTAAATTGAGAAGAATAAAAATTTGAGAGCAAAGGATACTTGTGAGAGCTTGGGGAATGTGAGAGTAATATTATTTTAAAAATTTAAGGTTAGTTACAAATGAGGAGAGGTGAGGTATTTATAGACCTCTCCTTAGATCTAAAAAAGTTTCCACCTTTTCAATGGACAGTGGAAATTAAATCAATTATATGTTATAATTCATTTTCTAGAATCCTCTTTTAAATATTTACAACAAATGTCCAGATATTTATATAAAATATCTAAAGGCAAATATTAAAATATTAAAGTTAGAATTGTGTAAATTTTTTTTAGAATGTTATTGCACTCTCTAACACTCTTAAGGTTATTCATGAGACTTTTGGAGAGCTCTGGAATGTTCCGGATCTCCTTAATTCATAAAAAGTGATGAATTGTGACATTATGCTAAATATGATAGA